GACGGATCCATCCGTCCGTGCAGCGGATCGATTCAGCGGATCGATGACTCCTCCAGGGCTTCATGCCGGCCACCATGCAGGGCCAGGGCACCATGCCACCCGGCCCGCCTCAGGCGCCCCGGGATTTGGGGGAGCCTTGGATGGGCATTGGGGGGGGGGGAAAGGTTTGCTTTAATTTACAGCAACTCGAAAAAGGGTTCGACGAGAACGACACACCCTTTGCCGTGTCGGGGTATGCGCACGAAGTAGCGCCACTGTTGGGTCTCAGCACACGTGCTTATTTTGCGAGCGAACCATTTCGGAGCAGATTTGAAAAGAGGCCCAAAAGGGGCCATTTTTGCAACAAATCCAGCATCAGTTCTGTGCAGAAAGCGAAGTACGCACACTGTTCGTGCACAGGCACATGTATAACGTGTCACTGCACGACCAGATGTTTCACCACTGTGCAAGGGTCAACCCACGCGCCCCAAGGTCAGCAAAAGGCCCGATACAGTAGGCCAATTGCGGATCAGTTGGGACTTAGAGAGATTTCGTGGGAAGGCGCTGCCCAAATTGAAGCTGTTCCCTCACCTGGCACCGAGCCTGGTGAGGGCAGAAAAGAGGTTACCTGCAACCAAACCCTTAGGTGGCTCTCACTTCACACGCTCAAGCAGCAAGCGCATCAGTGTACCGTGGACTGTTCCAGCGAAAAGCAAGTTGGCAGCAAATGCGATCACCGCTTGCAAGTGAGTCTACAGCAGCTCAAGTGGTTGTTGATTCCTGCGCTGAGCATAGATTTCATGGGCGCAAAGAACTGGTCAGATGGAGTGAGGCAAGCTCTGTCCCGACTTTTGACCCGCCAGGGCGATGGAGGGCAAGGGCAGATGATGCAGCAGGGAATGACACCTGGCTATTGGCATCTTGTAGTTGGACCTTCTTTTTGGCTTTGTGAGGATTTTGGGTTTATCTCTTTTTGGTTCTGAGGCGTGTGCGTGTGTACTGCTACACTTTTGAACCAGACGAGTGGGGATTGGCAAGATGCCGGTTGCTCCGGCATGGCCAACTTGACAAATCTCACCCACTACATGCCTTTGTGGGAACCGACACTCCACCACATCCCATGTCCACATATTCGTGCTGCCACTGGCAGCAGCTTTTTTGTTGCTTACTTTCGGTTCCAGAAGCCCATCTGAGGGGATACGCGCGGCAGCAATAGCACTGATTCTCCTGCCAAGAGAAGATGAGCAGAGTCTGCCAGCGGCTTTGCTGCACGCAGAGAAATCCAAGGAAAAATGGATTGCGACCCCAAAATCGTGCCACCCCGAAAGGAGGCACCATCAAAATCCTCGTAGGTGTTTGATCTGTGCGGCCTTTGTGTCCATCTCTTTATCTCTCTTTCTGTATCTCGCTCTTAATACATATATATATATATCTCTCTCTCTCTCTCTCTCTCTCTCTTTCTCTATCTCGGTCTTACTCTCGCTCGCTCTCTCTCTCTCTCTCTCTCTCTCTCTCTCTCTCTCTCTCTGTCTCTCGCTCTCTACATCCCTCTATCCTCCTATCTCTGTATCTCTCTACTTCTCATAGCTCTATTTGCTATTTCTATCTCTTTTTCTCTGTCTCTTCATCTGACCTTGTTTTCTTCTCATTACTTCCTGCATTGTTTGCGTTTTGCCTCTGCCTTTTCTTCTACGCTGATTCGGCACTGGTGGCACTATCTGAAGCCAGTTTGACACCTTGCAAGGATGCCGCCGCTTCTCTTGGTCTGGGCAAGCTTCTGCGCATCTTTTGTCTTGACTTGTCAAAGCATTATCATCGCATTATTTCGGTTGCTGCAATTTGTATGCACAAGCTGCTAAGTCCTCTGACGTGAGCAAAGCTCGCTTTCTGTGCAAGCATGGCAAACCACTTTTGATTGGCTGTCTGTCTACCGCAATCAACTTCATGGAATGCTCTTCCAACATATGTTCTGAACATTCTTACTCGGTCTCTTCTTATATTTCACCTATTTCTGGGAAGTAGCAAAGTCAGATCTAGGGTTGTTTTCCTTTAGCCTGGCACTTGGACGACTTCTCAACATGGGGCCATGATCTGTTTCCGGCTAGGCACAAGCCAGCAGCGGGAGCCTCCCGGCCGCCCGGCCTCTTCTCGCGGCAGGACCTAAAAGTTTTGGGTAACAGCCCGTCATGCTCGAGAGTGAATTTTGGAGGTGATGCGCACAGACCCAGCAAGCGGAGAAAGAAGCGAGGCTGGGGACCCCAAATTGGTGAGATCCAAGCTCTTTGCTTTTCACACATTGAATGGGGTCCCTAGTCTTTGACCAGATACCAGAATGAAACACAAAAGGCTGGGCCAGCGGATCATCGATTCGATGCTTTCGAGCCTGCCTTTTCGGATCCAGGAATGGATCAGCTCCAGACATACGTAGCACCCCACAGATACGGCATCCCCCAACAGTCCAGAATAAGCATGAATCTAAGAATGAACGTGTTTGCAAATGCAATTGCAGCTCTTTATGATTCTGCTTTCAGACATCAATCTTGGGGTGCTGTAAATCGACGCACAGTGGGCACACGCGCAGAGGGCGTCATCGGCTTTTCCAGGAATGCTCTGTGGCTTCCTATCTTCAGATTTGCGAGGAATACAAGCTCGAACGGATAAGAACAGGATCAGCCTCAGCCTCCAACATGCATTTTATCTTAGGTATTTTGCTTGAGTCCTCGGACATTGGTCTGACACACTGCTGTTTTACGGTGGCCAAGCGTGAAGAAGAACACAAGTCTTCGACATTGTCAGGTTGTTTGGTCTGTGCACGTATCCCATCAAGATCGTTCGGCTGTGGCTCAAAGATAGTACCCCCAAAACCCCGGGTTGTAGGAAGCAACAAGAGCACCAAAGACGACAAAACAAACCCTTTGCGGTCTGGGTCCTCAATTTTGAGCCACACCCATTGACAAGGTGGCCTGCCATTTTGGTGCGTTGGCTCACACTGCGGATGGCAGGCCTCCAGAAGTCGACTGGCTTGAGGTTCAATTCCGCCTTTTTGATTTCAGAATTGCGCTGCACTCGCATGCCTTGGCATCCCGGTCCAAGTCCCTTCGGGATGGCCAGTCCTTGAGACTCTGTTTGGCTGAAAAGCATTCATTGAATCACTTGTGGATTCAATTGACCGTTTCTGCTCGTGCAGGCCGCTTTCACTTGAACTACGGACGTGTTTTTGTTGTTGAGACAGTCGTTGGAGCGAGCGGCAGCAGGGGCACCATGGCCATCTCGAGAAAGACCGATGTGGAGACCACTGCCTTGGCGTTAGGTATTTTGCCTGCAGAGGTATTTTGCCTCCAAGAGCATGAAGCTTTGCCAGCCATCACTCGCGGTGCACCATGCATCTTTGGGAGCCTGGATGAGAGAGAAGAGAGAGAGATAGAGAGAGAGAGAGAGACTCTCAAACACAAGAAAACACGACGTCACCGCGCTTTTTGTTTGTCATGGCCGGATTCAAGTGCGGGTTATTATTTAATTCCTCCCTGGACTTGTCCCAAAGCTGTTTTCTTCTGGTTGGGCCTTGGGCGATGGCGCAGGCGAGTGTGCTGCACAGATGCTTTGGCGACATGGCTCCCCGGCGGGACACACGGGTAGCAAAGCAGAAAGGGGTTCCGAAGGCGCCCGGTTTCATAGCTAAGCTTGGGATTAGCTGGTGGCGAAAGTGACATGTCCTGCAGCAAACTCTTACTCAGCTGCCCGTCAAAAGATGGACAGGATGTTGTGAAAAGCGGGTTATGCACTTTCTCCGCCTAGACTGCACCCGTGTCTTATCACCCAGTTCTTATCGGCCTTGCGCAGGCAGGAGCGAGATCATGCCAAAGTGCCGGTGACGGGACTGTTGCATATGAAGTTTTCACTGTTTGCACCTAAATCACCGTCAAAGAAGCATTGCTTGGTGGTCTCACTCTTCATGTTCGTCACATCCTCACTCTTGCAGTTTGTATGCCGTAGCTTGGAGTTCGATTCCAATCTGAGCGCAAGTTCAGTGCAACAGCGCTTTTATCTTGTGGATGTGACCCCTGGGTACTTCTCTGGAATCAGCTGATGGGTAATCGCCAAACCGAACTTGAGTGACATTTCTGAGAAGCGGGGTCACGTCAAGGCGGGAGACACTCGCTTCACCGTGAAGCATGAAGCGACGCCCCATTCAGTGGACGCAACAACGGGCAGGCCCCAAGATTCCCAAGCGTTCCGCAAAGCCGGAAGATAGTATGGTGATGAAACTATTGGGAACACCTTGCAAACTGGTTCGTGGACATACACTATTCAAGTGATCTCCACCAAGCGGCATTCATGAAGATCCATGCCCATTTGGTCCTCATGGGGAATTCGCTTTCTGCTGAAGAAACGCAGGCTGAAGACGCCGGGGCTAGATCCTTGCGCTGCCTCGCCGAAATTTGGCAAGCCCTGCGTCAGAGTCGTGACGCCATCCACGCCGCCCATCCTGGGAATTGGCGGAAGATATCGGAGAAGTTGTTGCAGATTGGGCATTCAGGGGTTTCAACCAAGTGGGACCCCTGCTTAGCTGGCTCAATTGACATTTGCAGGGATCTCCCAATTCTCTCTGACATACCCATGTGTAGCATCATTCACACGGGGCCCCTCCCCTTGCATGCAGTGCTGGGAAGGGAACGGCTTGAATGACAGAGACAGGCCTGATAGTGGAAGAGTGAGCCAGCTTCCATCGTGCCTCCATTCAGAAATCAGATGCTTGCCCGCGTGTGCATGCTGGTTCATTGGCATGTTGGTGCTTGGCTGCAGTTGCAGCTTGCTTAGGTTGAACCTTGGCATTCTTGGTAACCCTTGCATCCACTGCATCCACTGCATCCATTTCGTACAGTTGCTTCACAGTGCAGCCAATCATAACAATGCAACTGGGGCGTTACTGTTAGCGTTACACCTCACACTAAATCATAGGACGCAGCTTCGCCCTGACTTTACCAGGCCACAGCATCACAATGCAGTGAGACAGAGCAAGAGATCGATTCCAACGTTGCGCCGTTACGACTTTCTTGAATGGAAAGACCTCGATCAGAAGCAGCTGGCTGTCAGGATCCAAAGATTGCCTAGCTTGCTTTCCAAGATGCTGACCAAGGCGACTACATCAATGAGCACTGCCAGAAGTGGTTTCTGCCCCAGTTGAAGACAGGGGGCCAAGAAAGCAGGGGGCAGTATTATTGTGGTGTATTGCCATGTTCGATGCCTTTTGCTGCCTTCCCCCAGCCTGTTCCAACGTGCTGTGACCCAGCGCCAGGCGCCTTGCTTGCCGTTTTCATCCAGCGACATCTTCGACACTGATTCCCCACACCGTCATGAGGAAAGGGAGGGACCTTTGCCGATATTTGGGCAACTCCAAATTGCCACAAGGAACTCAAACGGCCCTGGCCAGCCTTGGGGGAACCTCAATGCGGGGCCTCAAGGGTTCGATCTTTCAAACACAAAGAGACCGCCCCCTTAAGAAGGAGACCGCACGCGGAGTTGGTCGGATCCGAGGCACAACTCAGTGGTGCACTGCCAGTGGACTGCAGAGAAAGGGAGGATCTTGAGGCAGGATACGCGTTTGGTTCACGCGAAATGCCCACTGGGACCGCACAAATGATGTTATTTCCCCTTAATCTCCCTTGAAAACAATCCCAAAGAGTGTTCGCAACAAAAGACAGGTTCAATTCCTGCCTCTTGCGAGCAGAAATAAACCCATGTGCAAACACAGCAGGTTATGGGTTGGTCAAAAGCGTTGCCATGATTTGGTTTCTAAATCGACAGCCACGAAAGGAAGCCCAGGGAGAGCCAGGGTGCGAACCCCTTTTCGCCTGGTATCAATGAAAGGCCTTGCCGAGACGTGCACACTGGTTGATTGAAGTGGAATGAGAGCGCTTTGTTTCAGGAGCCGCCGCTCTTTCAAGACAGGGGACGCTGCCTTAGGAAATGGGGAGCAAGTCACTAGTTAGTTCGTTTTGAAAGAACTAACTATTGGCTTGGCAGAACGTTTGCTTCAAGACGGTCAACAAACTTATGGCCGTCTACGGAACCTTTGTTTCTCTGGACAAAACAAATGTTTCTTCTGAGGTCATGCTTCTACTCTTTTGTCGCATGCGCGGATAGGTTAGTCTCCAAAGGAGAAACAACCGTTTCCCGTGTGAAAGGTTTGTTTCCTTCTCGAAGACACATTCTTCCAGTGAAGTTTGTTTTTGCCTTGGGAAGCTTTTCCGAACCCTAGAATGGCTAGTTTGGAAACTTGGAAAAGACATGTTTCATCGGAGAGTTTAGCTTGTTTGTTTTTTGGGAAACTCCGAAAGGAAACTCGCGGATAGAAGGTTAGTTTCGCATACCGAAACTAACGTTCCAGACAAACGATTGTTCCAGCGCTGAATATAAACATGGCGCAACCTCCGGCTGTGAGTTTGTTTCTCTGCGCGCAAACTCTAGTTTCGTCAGATAACAGAAGGTTTGTTGTGTCCACGAAATGTTTGTTTCGATTCCTTTGTTTCGGCAACGCTTCCGCGGCGCGGCATTTGTGGCACGGGCTCGCCACCCTTCTTAGGGTTGGTTTTTGGGGTGGGTTTCGGATAGGTCCGGGTTGGGTTTTGGGTGGGTTTATTGGTTGGTGTATGGTGGGTTTCGGGTTGGTTTAGTGTGGGTTTCGATCGTTTGATGATTCTAGTGTGGGTTGTCTCAGATTTTGGATTGGTTACTTGGGTGTCTAGGATTGGGGGTTGATTCAGGCTTATACAGGCTTATACCCGCCCAACACAGGGGGGTTGTTTTAGGGTTGGGGGTTGGGTCAGGGTCATACTTGGGGAGGGGGGGTGGAAGGGGGGATTGTTGGCATTTTACAGGCATGCTTCTGCATGCAGTTTCCTTACATTTTGGCGCTAATTGAGCGTGTGATTGACCCCGTGCAACTCTTGCTGCGCACGTTGCACGCATTTCTGTTTGCATTTCACATGCAATCGATGTGCAATGTTTGTGCATTTTATATTTATTTCCATGCGTGAGTCCTACGCATTTTCTACGCCTTGGGGCGCCCATAGAAAAAGTGAAGACACTACTGGAGAGAGTTCGCGGTTACAAAGCCCGGATCACAAAGCCGAACAACGGCCTTACAAACAAGCGGGCGGGTTGGGGGGCGGGCGCAGCCTCCCCCATTAGAGAAGCAGATGAAGACACTAAACGAGGCAAGCGAGCGATTACTAACAAAGAAGCAAGGATCACAAAGCCGAACAAAGGCTATTGCTTTCCTTCCCCCATCCGAAAGCAGCAACCCCTCCCCCCCCCCAAAGAGCAACCCGCACTCCCCGCCCCTTTTCGCAGTTATTTTCCCCGGTTGTTGTTCGAGCATCGCCCCCCCAACAAGAATCCCGAACAAATGATCCCTTTCTTGTTCGAACAGCTATAACCCCTCCCCCCCCAAAAGCAATCCCCCCTCCTCTAATCATTGTTCGAGTAATCCCTCAAACATTCACAGAGGCGGTTCACCGGAGCCCCCCCCCCCCCTCAGCTTCTGGGATCGCAAAAAGGAATACGGCACATTGCACACAACTGCCGCCACTTGCTGCTGATGCTCAGGGTATCGCTGGTGATGCTGGGTGATGCTGGTGATGCTGGGGATGTTGCTGGTGATGCTGGGGATGTTGCTGGTGATGCTGGCTGCGAGCGCCCAAGAAACTAACAAAGTCTGATTCCAATCCTGGAAACGATTGTTTTCCCTCCATGAAATCAAAGGTTGAACAACGTTTGTTTCTGGGCTCTCCCCTTCCCCCCAGGCGGAAAGGTTAGTTCCACTCGAAGAAAAAAACAAAAACGCACACATTAAATCTTTGTTATTCCTTGCAAAAAAACATATTTCCTCTGTTGGAGTTAGTTTCCCACTTTTGGGGGCGGCCGGCGCCGCGTGACTAAGCTTCAAAGAAAGAGTTTTCTCCGAGGAAACTTCTGACTCGCTCCATACTCGCCTTAGGAGCTGAGAGTGTCAAATGGAACCCAAATGGAGGACCTAATCAGAGGTTTGTCCCGAAAATGGTTGATTAATTTCCCAATCGAAAGGGGAAGCACAAGAAGGGGGGCCTTCACATTCAGCGGTTTTGTTTGCAATACATTGCGGCGTTTTGGCACTTGCAAGGACTGCTGGTTCAAGCGTCTCTTGTCCCTTGTTCGTCCTGGTACAGAAAGGGTGAGTGGTGGTGAGACTCAGACTCTCAGTCTGAGACTACAGGATGGGCTTGCCTCATTTGTGCCAAGGCGTGAGGCATGAGGTGAAGACATTCTCAGGACATCATTTTCCGCGAGCCTCCGCTCCACCTGGTGTCTGAGCAGCCAGACAACGAGCTTTTCCAAAGGCGCGGTGAGGATTTGCGGCTGGTTGAATTGCGGTTACGCAAGGGGGCCGGCGCCGGAATGTTCGATCTTTGGATCCATCCTCGCGTGCAACGTGCGCCAGTTTTTTCCGTTTTCGTTTTCAACCCGCGCATCGAAACGCCAGGGTCGAGAAGATTTGCCGGGAGAGGCCCGAAGCTGCTGTCAAAGCCTTCTGAGCAGCGCTACGCCTCGACAAGTGCGGGTTCAATTGAGCGATGTGTGTGTGGCTCAAAATTAACCAGGGGGGGTTACGCAGGTTTTGGTCCATGTTTCCACTTACCAGGGTTCCATTTCGGTACCGGTTTTTTGAGCCATAAAAAGCTTTTTTTTGCCTTGTTGATAGAAGCAAACGTCGATGGGTTTTGGCCGGTGCTCATCTTGACTTTAGAGCCGACTTCCGCGAGGCCTCGGGACTTCATCTTCGGAGCCCTCTGGTGCCAATTTGAGAGGGCGTCTCAAAATCGGTGCACCCCTCTTGGTGTCCTTTTGGTTCCCTTAGCAAACACCAGAGGGGTTGCCTATTTTGAGACATACCCAGATGCAGGGTGAGCAGATGTTGGTGGCTGCCAGGTACTGGGCAGCCCTGTGCTCTCTGACTGCCGCCCACTTGCCGGAGGATCGCAGGCTTCCACCGGTCGCGGAGGACCTGAAAGCCAGCCTGAAAAAGCGGTTGACCACAGGAAAGGGGTACTTTCCTTCCAGCAGTCATAGTATTGACACGGGGCATCCAAGAGAAGTACTTAGTCTTCCGCAACCCGGTCAGCTTCCATGATTGTTGGAGTTTTCTGGATGCCCCCGGGCTGGCAATTGAGCACTTCACCTCTGGAAACGAGGGGCCACATGCGGCCACTTCTTCTTTAAACACGTTTGTAAATAAAGCATGCTAGCAGCATGGTTGCATGCAGGACGTGCACAAGCGGTTGCTTCTCCTGCGCTTTCCTCAGACCTCTGGACGGTTCTGGCCATTACGTCGGGCTTTCCAGGTGTGGCATGGAAATCACAGCCGGCGAGGGTGAGGCAGGCAATATGGACGTCAGTGGAGTAACTGGTGCTGCTGGTTTTTTTTGTTGGATGCTTTCTGCAATCTTGTACCCAGGGCTGCTTCATGCATAGAATCAGAAGGAAGCTGCTGAGAACTGCGACGCTGCCTCCAGGAAGCGAGAGAGGCGAGCCCGGCACGCTTACTCTGAGGTTGGCCAGAGCGTCCGGATGGTCTGTCGGGGATGGTCCTTTTGCACCCATTGATAGGGGTTTAACCGACCTCTGAGTCAGGACTGCGTATCAGCTTGCCCCTGGCTTGTGCGCGGACATTTCGAGGCTAGACCCATTCGACGTTCACTGCTAGGCCGCAAAGGTCTTGGTGCAGGAATTTCAGCTTGAGCCCAGGCGCTCCTTTCCCCTGGGCAAACCTTGTGCTTCACGAATTGACTGACAGGTTGACTGACAGGTTGACTGCTCAATAAGAAGCAAGACCTCATGTCCCCTTCCCACAAAAGGGTATGCTCTTTTCCGAGGCTTGGTGTCCTTTGCGAGAAGGTTTCAACTCAATGAACCACTTTCCAGGCTCCCCTATTCCGAGACAAAGGTAGAAGTGTTTGCCTCTGCGCCAGCCCCCAAAACGCGCACCGAGACTCAAGAAGCAAATCCAGGTTGAGAGAGGCGACTTGTGGAAAGAGTTTGGGAAGCAATTTGTACCCCAAAAGCGAAAGACACGAAAGGCCAGTCTCCTGAGCCAATCGTTCAGGTGCCAAGCCCTGGATTTGGAGCGGGTCTTGCAGGTGCGCAAGTGGAATGCATTCGCTCGGTGGAGAAACCGGCCGGAAAACATCGTCGGATTTGCAAGTTCCTTTCTGCGGTTGCGCTCTGAAACTTGGTGTGTTTCTGTTTGGGGTGTGTCGCGTCATCTTGCAGTTGGTACGGGCACAAAGCGTCTGAGAGACGCGAGGTTTGGATCGTGAACTGCTTCGAGCACACGGACGAGCCGTCGGGGCCCCTTTCGCGTGGCGAGAGGGGGCATCCTTTCTTTCTACGTCCCAAAGATATCACCAACCTTGACATGGCTAGAAGTTGCGTAACATGGAACCCACCAGAGGGTGCCGAAACTGGTCTTCCTGGAACCCCCTGTCTGGTTTCATGTTTGTGGATGGTAGGGCAAAGGGACTCCTGACTGAACCCTTCTAGACTCAGACAGGGGAGCCTTGCTCTGAGGCTAGGCTACGCCACCTACTTCTTGTCCTCCTTCACGCAAGGGGCCTCACTGCACGACGCGCTGAAGCATGTAGGAGGTGAGCCATCAAGGCCCACTGACCTGTGAGTCAATGGCAATTGTTAAATTTTTTTGGGTGCGGGGGGACCCCCCAAAGCACTCCGCCCAAATTGTCCATAAGTTTCTCATGTCGTATTTAACTTAGTAATTCTCTCCCATCATATGGACTGCGCCTCACTTGCGACAAGGTCGCACTCCTGCTTCCCCAATGCGGTATGGCACTACGATGGGGAGCGGGTCGTCTGGGTTCACGCAGCGTCATTTACCCAAACTTCAACTGTATTTCTTGGAAGGATGACTTCGTGCTGCGCGCGCGGGAAGACATCGAGGCGCCTTGCACGGTTGTTCACTAACATGTGGTAACGTTGGTGCTGGTATACGCAGGAACATTACTGTCCGAAAAGGGGGCAGGTCCGAGTCTTTTCACTGTCCGACTTGTTTTCTCAATGGTTGTCGGATATGGGCTTTGACCGTGAACAACATGCTGTCAAGCTGCCAACTCATCTTCATCTCCATCTCCATCTCCCCCTCTCTCTCTCTCTCTTTCTCAGAGAAGCTGAGTTGCAAGATAAGAAATGCCTCTCCGCAGGTGGATGACGAGGTCACCTTGTCCTACTTGTCAGAGGAGTGAAACATGGCTGTTTTTTTTGCTTTTGAGAGTATACCTTGAAAGGGGGTTGGGAGGTTAGGAGCTGTCCCGGAACGGGTTCGGAGTCGGTCTTCGCAGCCTTTGGGCGAAGCCTTTGCGCACTTTCGATGGGTCGGCCGTCGAATTGGTGAAATGGTGGCCAGGTGGCCAGCAGATAAAAAGGCTGGCTAAGACAGGCAGACAGATAGAAAGAAAAATAGTCGGTAGAATTATGGATAAACAAATAGACAGATAAGGATAATATGGACGGACAGAGCGATACATGGATAGATATGGTTCGATAGAAAGATGGAGGTTATTTGGCTACATAAAGAGACAGAGATGGATAGATAGATAGGTAGGTAGGTAGGTAGGTAGGTAGGTAGGTAGATAGGTAGAAACATAGGAAGGTCAAGGATAGACTGACAGAGAGATTGCTGAGTACAATATGAATACACGGAAAGACACAGATGGCAAGACAGAACGAAACAAAGGTAGACCGATGAACAGGTAGATGGAGAGATAGATGGATGGATGGATGGATGGATGGATGGATGGATGGGTGGGAGGGTGGGTGGGAGGGTGGGTGGGTGGGTGGGTGGGTGGGTGGGTGGGTGGGTGGGTGGGTGGGTGGGTGGGTGGATGGATGGATGGATGGATGGATGGATGGATGGAGGGGTAGGTAGGTAGGTAGGTAGATAAATATGCAGATAAATCGAATAATATATATATATATATATGTATATATACATATGCACATATATATATATATATATATATTGCATACACGTACAAGGATACGCTCTGGTTTCGAAAGGGCTGGATTGTTTGCGCGAACATTGGTGGTCTCAAGAGAAGTTCAAGGCGCAACGGTCGACCACTGCGGCTTGCCGTTCTGGGCAGGCACGCTTCTATTCGGAAAAGCATCGGTTGTGAAGGGCTTGACTGTTCTGATTTGATTCTTCAAGTGAGTGGGCTTCTGCAGTGCATATGGAGGGACGAGACAAAAAGGGCTCCAGAGCCTGAGTGGTGAAAGAAAGCAAGAGGCGTGAAAGCGAAAGCCCATGTGGCGGTTCCCCGTAAGCAGGAGTCCCTCATGAGCTCCAGCACGGCGCGGCGGCAAAAGCTGAAGGACTAACGCGAAGCACATGGAATTTTGCGGCGTGTTGAGGTGTCGGCTTTCCCTTTTTCCCCTTTTGGATTGTTCGCGAAAAACATGGATGCCCGGTTTGCATGACATGATTGTTGTGGCGTGTTGATGTGGCCACGGGTCATAACCTATGCATTTCGCCATTTTGGGGCGGAACACCCGTGTACTACCTATTTTGATGTTCACCAGGGGTACAGGGTTTACAACCACAGCCATGTGTTGGCTTTCCTTTTTGTTTTTTTAAGGATTGTTGGAGCCCCCGAAAAATGTAGGCTTCCTGGTGAAGCTATGCCAAACTTCTCCCTGCAAGGGTGGCAAGCAGATCCTGATTTGTGTTTGACATCGCTTTGCTCCTGAAGCGGCTTCCACATTGAGACCCGCGCGGAGCACATTCTTGAATTGCAGGCTTCAAAGCACTTCGTTTGCCGCTGTGAGCGGTGCGTTGACATCAACGACCCCTGCCGGGGTTTTCGGCCCGCTTCCAAGTTCATTCACACGGTGCCAGAGATGTTATAGGACAAAACAACCATCGCATTGGGCAGTCGTTCCGTGCTGATCTAAACCTCAAGCATTTCTGGATGTGATCTTTGCACGCATTTGGACTGCAGGAACCAGACGCATCCTGTAGAAATGGGGTTTTCAATCCAGGCCGGCGTGAGGTCGGGGTTTTCGCCTGCGAGGTGCCCACGTTGCTCTGCAATCTCATTGCAGCTGGGTGCCGCTCGTGAGGATGAGGCCGGAGTGCGGATAGCTGGCAAGCGCTTTCTGAGCCTTCCACTGCCAGGGCGAGATGTGGGGGAAATGGTGGGTTTAAGAGTGTAAGATCTGGAGCTGCCTGTTGTAAATGCTTCGCGCTGCCCACCTCGGCCAGTTTCAGCCGGATTCTTTTAGTTGGATCTCAAGCGGTGGCGGCCGGCCACTTCGGTTGGTAGGCCACCGCGTGTGCGTGGTAGTCTGGGCGCAAGGGATTGTGGCCAGCCGTGTGGCGTGGCAAGGGCGACGCGCGCAAGGGCGACGCGCACGGGCGACAAGAGCAGTAAGCCCTATTACGAGCCTGGCGTGCCTTGCCCCGGCCCAGGGAGGCTTCGCGTAGCTTGCCCAGGCATTATTAGACAGCGGCTCTAGTTGTGGCCCTCGCCCCTTGCTCTTGGCTGCGAGGCTCTGTCCCTGCCCCTTGCCCTCGGTCAGCGGCCCACAGCTCCGTAGCTCTGGCGTCTCGCGCCGTAGTCCCGCCGCGTGATGGAGCTGCCGTGGTCTAAAAAGGGGTCTGACCTCTGGGGCTTGAGGCAAAATTTGAGAGCGTGTTACTTGGGAGTGTTCTATTTCGGCTTAGGCAAGTTGGTGGATTGACGAATTTTTGGTGCCCCTATACGCGTGATAGTCAGCGCTAGCCCTGAAGGTGGATGTGGGTGAAGAGGAAATGGCCTCCCGGCAATGTGAGAATTGTGTGCGGCTGAGTTTGACCGAGCTCCATGTTGGTTCTCAACATAACTCGTGAGCAACTCACAAAGTTAGTGGTAGTCTGTTGTTCGCTTTGGAGGGACGGGCAGGCCCCAAGAGGACAGGCCGCCAATTTTCTCATGTCTTCTTGCGAAAGTAATTTGTTCTGCCTGTCGAAACCTTCTCCCCGCTTGGAAGCGGAGCCACCATGGGGCCCGTCCAAAAACATGCCCGTGGAGTTGCCCTGAGGTCACGTGGAACTGGGACTGGGTCAGGCCGGAGTTGCGCAGTTACTATAGGGACAGCCCACTTGCCGCAAGAGCGGATTGCAGGCGGACGAAAACTTGTTCGCCTTGCCTCATGCCTTTGCTTGCCATGCGAGGCTGCGATGCTGAATGCGGAGGAAAAACTGTTGAGTGCAACATGTGCGGAGCCGGACTCCAAGTTGGAGCGATGCACTGTGTGTGTGTGTGTGTGTGTGTGTGTGTGTGTGTGTTTCAGACTCTGAGTCGCAAGATGCTAGAACCAAGCTTTTTACGGCGCAATGAGCGAACTGACTCTGTCTGTCAGTCGGGCCACACGCCCCTATTTTGTGATTTTTGTTGCCGTGGCGCTTCTTGTCTTGACCGGGGGAGGGGGGGGGGGGTGGCAAGGGTCGAAAAGGTCTTTGTTGCACAACATGGTCTGGCCGCAAAAAACAGGGCCACCCTTGAAGGGATGCCGATGCCTTAGGATGGAACCGGAGATGGGGCCGGAGGCGAACAGCGCCTCGCTGCCGCGGCCTCGGTTTTCAGGGAAGCCATCCATTTTGTTTCAGGGAAACTACTCTGGGGGGTTACCCCTATGGTTGGCGGCAAAGCTCTGGCCTGCAGGATGTAGGTCGCAGCATTTTGCAGAGGAGAGCAACACCCGAGCCACGCAATACCTTGTTTGCTGCATGTGCAGCGGGGATCCGATTCTTCTGTGGTAAGGCGATCGCAGTCGAGGTCTTTTCGGAACCCGACTGTGGAAGATACCCGTCACCAAAAATGATAGAGCAGTTGGGACCACCCCAACAAAAGCCCATTCAATACTTTGCCTTTTTTGGCCGTTCGAAAACACAGTCGGATGCCAAAAACATGACCAAAACAGGCTGCAGCGGCTTGAACGGAGCACGCATCGCGCAGCCAAGTGCCTCTCGCAGGCGCAGACTTTGGTCAAAGTGTCTGGTAGTCTAGGCAGTGGGGCGACAGCAATTTTTGAGGAAAGGAAGCAAACGAAAGCGCAACTTTTGGGGGCTTTCCTATTTTGCAGTGAAACCCATACACAACCCCAAAGCAAAAACGGTGCTTCTACGGTTAAACGAAATGGGCCTGATGCGGTTTGACTTTGGAGCACACAGTTGAACACTGCCTCCTTGTTGGTCGGCGCCGATTGGTTTTTGGACTACTGTCCTCTTGGACGAAGGGCGTGTCTCGAACCCGCCTTCAAGGTGCCCTCAACGCAAAGACAAAGTCAAGCTTGAGAAGACCTGCTTACTTGGATTGCACCCCTTTGATCAGGATGTCACGAAGCTGCAAGGGTTTTCTAGCACGGGATTCGTGAAGGAGTTGGACCATGGCACACTTGGGCCTTTTCACTGGGAAATTGACCTCCGCAAGCAAGCGTAATTTGGCTCATTAATACTTCGAGCAAAATAGGAACCATCCTTGTTGGATGGTCTTTTCAGGAAGCCCTGCAACCATTTGTGGCGCCGCCAGCATTTTTGGGCGCGGCTTGCGGAAGCGCTAGAACGAAAGGCCTTGTGATTCCTTCCAGTGGTTCCTCGGGTGGCTCAAAATTCAAGAGCCAGGGGACGCCAAGATTTAGTTTGCTTTTCCATAGGGTGGCCTCCTATTCTTGAGCCACATGACCAATTCGCGGAAAGAAATGGCCATGAATTTTAATAAGGAACCTCCTAAGAAGCGGTTGGTGGATGTAAAACCACACGTAAATGATGTCCACCAGAGGGTCCTTAACTAAAGCCAAATAAAAGCATATTCAATGTTGAACCTAGGCTGAGAGCCCGCACCCATTGCCCGCGTCTCAATTCGGTCCGTCAGCACTTTCTCCTGGACCAAGCCTGGGACATGATGTCTGTGCTGCACCAACGCTTGAAGCACTCAGAGGACGGGGAAGGCCGGGAAGGCCGGGAAGGCCAAGTGATTGAGGCTTTTGTTCTGGAGGGATTCCCATAGATCAACAGAAACCGCATGTGGGCGAATAGGGGAAAAGCTAGCTTGATTTTGGTTTTCAGTACGAATACACACTGTGAAACATGGCTTATCGATCCTTTAGGTCTGAGAAATATTCAGCTAGAGGTGTCAGAAAAGTTACCACAGGGATAACTGGCTTGCGGCAGCCAAGCGTTCATACCCAACAAAATGCCCCGCTTTTCCCATCACTACAGGTTTGCGCCGGTTGCTTGAGAAAGGGCAAAGCGAGTTCTGATTACAGGATTTCAGGAAGAGGAAGTGTAGTGATCTGATTTGGGCACAAAGCTTTGGCATCAATGAAAGGGAGCCTTGGAGCAAAAGAACAAGGATTTCTAGGGACGCTATGCCGTGAGATCAGATGCATGCTTTGTGGAATGCTCTGGACATGCCAACATCATCTTGGCCGAGCGTTTGGCAGGATGCTGAAAGACTGATGCGAAGGCGGATGGAGTATCAGGTGAGCCGTCCAGCTGGCCCCTGGTCTGATTCCCCTTGAGCCAATTCTGAGGCTCTGGCCTACCCTGGCAACAGTGCCCACAAGGTTTGGATTCAAGAGGCAGGCGGGAACCATCACCTTTGCGCACAGATTTGAAGCACCGCTCTAATTCCAGTTGTTTTCTGCCAAAGCTATGCTGTAGCTAAGTGACAACATGGCACACGTGTTTTGGGAGGAGTGGCAAACACGTTTTCAACTGGAAGCTTGCTTGCCGGTTGCGATTGACTTGCTTGACACCATCTAATTTACATTTCTCCCATGGCCGTTTTAGGGCAAGTGTGCTGACTGGGACTCATCGACTCGCCCTCCTTTTGGCGCGCTGGTGTCATGCGCCAACGTGTGATGGCAAGTCTTGACTCGGTTGACGGTTGATGCCATCCGAGATTCGGCTGGCGTGACACCAGATGTGTGGGCAGTTTTTTCGCAGGCCATGGGCAAGTTTTCATCATTCCGAATTCTGGCACGCGCTCCCAAAGAGGCTCTCTGTGTTGTCAGGCTTGCGCGCCCCAGTAGCTGCAAGTGGCAGTTGTGGTATCAGTGTGGTGGGTAGCCAGGCAAGCGTGCAATCTGGATGACATAGATGCTTTCCCTCAAGATGAGACTGAAGTGGACATGCTGCTGCAGTTTGAGATTGATGCGGCTTATGGCTACGTGCGGAGGTTGCAGAAGCGGATGAGGACAAGAAGCCGGCTGTCGCAACCAGATGAGCACAGACGTTCTTGGGCTCCTGACTGCTGGGAAAGCGTGCCAAGCGACATTGTGCATGCTGCAGCGTGATCCCGGCCCGAATGGTGAGATGGTGACAACGGCGCGACAGAGTATCTCGACCGATCCGAACTTCAACCATCAACCACGCAGAGCTCCGGGAGAGAGGAGATCCCGCAGTGAGTGGCCCAGGAGTCGTTGCGCGAGCCGCAAGCTGACGTCGGCGGATTCGCGGTTGCGGCCTTTGAGAAAGCCGCTATGTCATCTGCGAAGGGGCGGACAAGTGCTACGGGGGACAGGCTTCATGGTCACTGACGTTTGGAGCCGCATGTCAGTGCAAGACATTTACAATGGAACGAGCGCATGCGCGGCAACCCTGGCCAAAGGCGCGCTTCCATTTTCGAGCCCAGATGGTCACAGGGCCGAGACTTTGAGACGGCGCGCGTGGGCCGACAGTGGCCTTGGGTCGGCGGCAGCTACAGGGCGCAAACCTCAGCAGTTAGAGAGAGAGGGCGGGCGGAGAGAGGGAGAGAGAGAGAGAGAGAGTTTTCTTGCGGAAGGCGCCTGCAATGACTACACGCCCGGCAAAGGGTGCACGTCACGCTACTCCATGCACTAGGTGTTCGCACGTGTCAAAAGGCCTGGGGACAGCGCTGGACCACGCGACCTTGGGTTTTATTAGTGCCAGTGAGCTCCCGGCCCAAGCTCTTCCAGAGCAAGTTGGCTTGGGGTCTCCTTTGGTTCCGAGTCTTTTGGAAGTGCAGACGGGCCAGCGCTGTCTTGCACCAACTTAGAAGCAAAGAAGGCGTGCCACAGAAGGTCCACGCGAACGGGTTGTTTTGCCACCAGGTTCTTTCCCTGCAGGCGTACGCTGACATGCTCGTGCGGCATGCCCGTGACAAGGAGCCAAAGGAGACTGCCGGAGACTTGGGTTTCCTCAAACTTTTTCGGCCATTCCCTTCCCGAGGTGACTGAACCAGCCGCAGCCAAGCTTCGGATTGCCAGCGGCGTGCCCATGGGGGGTGCGGCCCTGGTGCATTTTTGCGTTGGGATGTGAGTCGGGTAACAGTAGTGGACGGTGGGATGTTAAGAAAAGACACTGAGATGGGCTGCGAACAAGCGAAGTCTTGTGCGCCTTGCCCTCCATTCAAGCGGTTTACCCCAAGCCCTGACGTGTCATTCTCCAATTATGACGATTGTTGAGTCTCTGAAACACCCGCAATGCCGCCAAATGCCCGAGGCTCAAGCTTGTAGCATAGGTTCGTTCTTGCATTCCAGCCCCAGAATTGGTTGTTCCCAAGGCTGATTCAAGTACACCAGCCCTGTGAAATGAGCGCACCAGAAGCCAAGTGGAAATGAATGTCCGAAAAGCTGAGCGAACTGAAACGCAGCCACAAAAGGCACCTGCCACCCCTCGGGGACGCTTGCAGATGGAAGACCTGAAGCAAGCAGCTCAGGCCAGCTCACTTCTATCGACCTCTTTCAGGTCCTCAGCTTCTGACTTCACGAAGCTTTTTCCAGCAAAAACTCTTGGCCATCCTGCTCGCTGTTGTCTTTTGAATCACTGCATGCGCCATTCGGCTGACCTTGCGGAATCCTTGTTTCTGCACATGAAACGGAAGCCTTTTGTCAAGCTGGTACCCTTCTGGGGGTTTCTAGCAAGGGAAAACGCCAGGAACCCGCAAACCCGTTTCGGGTTGAGACGAATCGATGTGCCAGGATGTCCAGCGTGAGCAAGCCCGCGAGTAAAGCTGCGCACAAAGGCGCGGGATGTTTTTTCATGACCTGCTTCCTTGCTGCTTCCTTGCTGTTTCCTTGGGGTAGGGATGGTTGTTCTAGATCAAAAGAATAGGGCTACCCTTGACCATGACTAGCAGGGGTATGCTACTGGTGGTCTGGGGGTAGCGGAAACGATTTTGTCGAGACACCGGGCTGGTCCCTTCCATCGCCCAGGTGCGAGTGTAGACACGCCAGGCGGTAAACCGCGACTTGGCCACAGCCACTTGCAGGGGCTGGATCCTTCAAAGGCCATTCTTTGTGACTTTGGCTTCAGCCTACGTCAACCAAAGTCATACCTGTCTATACCCCGCCCCTCGTTTTTCGAACCTCAAGTCTGCGCGCACGTCCATCGCTTGGCTTCGCATGTCGGCCCCGAGGAAGGCGAAGCCGCAGGGATCCAAAGAGGTCTGAAGCGAGCGAGAGGAGCCGTAGCAGAGTGACCAGTCAAAACCGTTTTCGCGGGCACAAAGAGGGCAGCGTGGACGAAAGTTCCTCCCCCCCCCCAAGCCAAAAAGAGAGAGGAAGAAGCGACCCTGTGACTACTTGGCTGTCAAGGACTATTAAGCTATACCACCCCTTGCTATTGCTCTGAAAAACACGGAGATTAACCTTCCCTGAGCGGGCCTGCCGATTAACGTTCCGAAAGCCAAAACTCCAGTTCGATGTTCCTTCAATCTATCGAAACTTGGCCACTTGGCGCCTTGCGCAAGGGTGTGTCCCCTTTTCCTGTAAAGGGAAGCCATAGGAAGGAGGTTAAATTTACAACAGAGGTTTTAGCATTTTTACACAAGGTTGGCCCAATCCTGTTGGATTGCGCAATCTTCCTTGGTCAGCTGGGGGCTGCGAGCTGAGGCTGGCAGCAAAGGCGAGGCTGAGAGAACCAGACATGGAAGTCTGCTATCTTACCAAGCCATTTGTTAGAAAGAAAGGACCCCCTCCCCTTTTTGCCATTGAGCCGCGTCGGATTGCAACTGAAATCACTGGATCTGCAGGCATCACCTCCAACGACGCCACAAAAGGTTCGCCCAGGCTGGGAGCTTCGTGTGCAAGTTGCGCAACAAACATCAGCTTCATCTTGGGCGTTCCTTTGAGCTGATACCCATATCATTTCATCATGTTATAAAAGGCCCCAGGCTTGTCACTCGGAAGCACACCTTGCAACTGCGAGGACACGAGGATGATCCTCGCTGGGCCTCCTCCACTCGGTCGGAAAGCAGCTCCAAAGCCAGCTCCAAAGCGAGCTCTAAGGGCTCCAAAAACTCCAAAGCGAGCTCCAAAGCGAGCTCCGGCGTCAGCTCTCGCTCCAACTCCCACACTTCGTCGAGAGAGGTCTCTCCGGTGAGCTTTGAGGCCAGAGAAGCATTGGGGTTCCTTCATGTTTGGACGTGCTTGCTTGAGGGCGCAGCTTGTGCCTCGCTGTGGGCTATTGCTAACTGTGGGAGGGACTTGCAGCCCTCTGCTTCGGTTCTATCATGCTTGTCTTGCTGTGCGACAAGAAGCCCCATGTCTTTCGGAGCAGCTGGGCCATGTGCGCCAGAAACAATTCCTGGTGAGCATCCAGCGAACACTCATCTCAGCCAGGTTTTTCGCGCGTCCTGTGCCGCCAGGAAGGCAGCCAGCCGGTCACCCGCGGCAGGAGGCCGGATGGAAACGGCTCGGACGCGGTTTGTTTCCATTCCTCAAAGGGACCCGTGAGCCCGCGAACATGGGGGTTTGTCTCGATCCTTACGGGGAACCCAACGCAGCAAAGTGCAGCCTCATAGTCGTAGGAGCCCGTCCTAGGTGTTGCAGCCAAATGTGTGCCCTCTCTATCAACGCTCGGCCGAGTTCGCTGACGTCCTCTGGGTAGCGCAACAGACGTAACACCCAAGTCGGCAATCTGGGCCTGGCGCCCACTTCCAGAGAGCCTTGAAGAAGGCTCGCCTGGGACTTCAATTAAAGCAGCACGGTCGGCCCCAAGTGAGGCCACATCCCCACCTGCATCAACTCCATCAAAACATCTGACTGCCTGCCCTGGCTAAACCTTGACTTGCTTCACCCCAGCCGGCCGGCGCATCGCGCACGCTCCTTGGACTGCAGCAGGGTGTCGATGACCGAGTAGCTGCACTCCAGGTTTCTTGATGAGGACCTGCTTGAGGACCCGCAAGGCCCGCTCCTTCTCCCTGCCGCTGACCGGCGAGGCGGCGGCCTTTGAGCTGACCGCCGCTTTAAATTGGAGCGGGGCAGATCAATCTCGGGGTCCGGAAAGTTTGCCACACCGACCTTCAAGAGCACGTTGAAGAAAGCCCCGCGGGCCTGCAGCCGATACTCCCAAGAGTCTTTCCCTTTGGTGGACTTAGGGGAGCGGGCTGTTGAGCCAAGAAGACTGAAATTCATGGGCCCGAGTTTTGACCCGACCCACTAGATCCCTGGAGTCCAGAACAAGGGTCTGTCGATATAGGTTCTTCAGGTCGCTTTTTCTCGCCCGCCCCAATCAAGTTCGCCCTCGGTTTGCTGCAGGGGTACTCGCTGATCTTGATTCTCGGTTCGAGACCCGCGAGCTTGTTGGAACGACCTCTGGGAAGGTGGATTGGATCCTCCTCGCTCCGGAGCCTCACTCAGTGTCTTGCTGAATGCGCTCCGGGTTTCAGCAAATTACCTTGGAGGTGGAGCAGAGGGCAAGCCGGAAAGTGTTGTCTGGAGCTAAGACTCCGTCTCAGTCTCCTCAGGTGTGTGGAGCTTTGCATTTGGCTATGAGTGCTTGTCAGGCTGTTGAACTTGCCCAGGAGGTGCTGATTATGCAGGAGTTACGGTCGACGATGTGTCAGTCAGGCGACTTTTGGGGGGCGCAGATCTTGACGGCTACGCAGCGCAGCTGCTGGAGCTCGTTGGCTCACGTATTTCCGTTTTGCTGGCGGAGGCTTTTGTTGTTACTTGTCGCGCTCTTTCAAGCGGGACGCTATGGGAACAACTGTCAGGGCAAGGGCGATTCGAGTTGCTGATCTTGGTGGATCTACTGCCGGTAGCAGTGACGAATTTGCGAGCTCGGGTTTCCGATACGATCGCAGCACATCGCAGCTAGCGCGCTGCGGAGAAGATGCGGTCTGGTCTCCGCTTTCGCACAAAATCGTATCTCAACCAGTCTCAGAGATTTGAAGTTCTTTTTGGATCTGCAGGAAGAGCGACTTGCCGGAAGAATGCTACAAGCTCAATCCTTTCCGGCAGACTTGTTCAGAAGGGTTACAATAAGTTTGTTTGCGCGAGAAGCTCACGCGGACAGGTGCTTCAATATTGGCGAACTCAAGGCTGTCTTCAAAGCCAAATCACGGCGGGACGTGTGCGGGGCCGACTCTCGAGATAGCCAATCTTGGCTACCTATTGAAAGGGCGGTCCTCGTCGACCGGTTTGAACGCTCTGCCCGTGAAATTGTAGCTTTTGACAGCTACGTGGATTACGTTTATTTTGAGACCAGTTGCAACCCACCGGACGAAGGGAGTTCGTCTTCGCATGGAATCGAGATGAATCGAGTAGGTGGGCGCCACGCTTTCCACCGAGACAGCTTGACGCTGGGCCGGAAAACGATTTGCGACTCAACGCAATGGAGGGAGGGGGTCGTCACAATCCCACACGATCCGCAGCTGTTGGGCTCTCGCCGTGGAGACTGCCTTCCTCTTCGACGAAAGGCGGTCCACGTCCCTGCGGCATACTCTCCTTCACGCTCGCCTGGGTTGCGCGCTTTTAAACGAGACAGCTGGGTGCTCGGCCACAGGAAAACGCATCGTGATCCGAAACGCTTGAAGAAGGGGTCGTTGATTTGAATGGTTGAACATGCCCTGAAAAATGATCACTTGAATATACCTCCAAGTAAGCTCGAAACGACACCTGCCCAGTAATGCTTCCCCCCGCCCCGGCCTCTGGCAGCCCATGTAATTAAACGATGCAAGAAGGCCCAGCCAAACAGACTTCCGTTTCCGAGTTGCTGGTCTCGCAGGCACAGCACCAAGCTCGACAAGGCGAGGGGCCTCCTGCAGTTTGCAGTCCGTCCACAATTGTTCAGAAGCCGAGCATATTTAGGTGTGGCTTAAAGTGAACCAGGAGGGGTTACACAGGTTTTGGTCCATGTGTTCACTTACCAGGGTTCCATGTTGGTACCCGTTTTTTGAGCCACAGCCATTTGAGTATGTGAAGCGAACATTTAGTATTGTGTATATCCGGAGATCCAGCTTGATCAACGTTTTGAGTGGCCATGCGTCGACCCCGGTGAAGCGAACTTCGAGAAGATTCTCCATTCAGCCATCCAACCACAGACCAATGGGAAGGTGTGGCAACACGTGAACAAACAATCCGTCAGCACATGGGGCGAATGAGCGGCAACAGCAAGCGAATGCAATCAATGCAAGCAACGACCATAAGCTCAAAATTAGGGGCTCATACCATGAACCACCCACGGTCTATTTAAAGCACGACCCTTGGTGTCTGACACAGCTCAGATTGGTCTGTCATGAGCGCGGTTTTGGCTGTCCACTGTAACCGGCGAATGAGTATTTGGATAGCCGGTTTGGTCGTCCAGCCATTGGTCTTTTTGGGCTCACAACTTATGTGGTTGGTTGAGTTGGCTGTGTCAACTTCCCGAGGCTGATTGCTTGTTGACCTGTTCGCACTCTCTGTCGAGTCACATGCCACCTGTAACAGCATTTGCTCCTCGCGGGCGGCTTTCTACCGAGACGTTTGGCGAACGAGCTGAATCGTGTCGCATCTTTCGCGTGTATGTGCCTTTGCAAGGACCTGAAGGGACTGAGTGAGGAGGAGATGCTGGCTGCTTTGCTTTGCATTTTCACCGTTCAGTGGTACTTGGCAAGAGGATGTTCCAACATCAAATGCCACGAGATTGCGGTTGAAGATACACTTGAGCGATGAGCCGCGCAACGCATTGGGTAGGAGATCTTCTTGAGAATACTTGACCTCTTGGAGCGGAATGACGAGTTTAACTCGCTCTACGACGACGAGGTGCGAGTGTCAGGATGGCGCTATGCAGTGGATGAAGAAGTTTCCTACGCGTTAGCGCGTTGTTTGCGCAGACAGAATCCCTGGATCACAGCCGGCCTATCGGGAAGCAATGCGAGCTCACCCACAAAAAGGGCTGGAAGATTCATTGCATCAGCCAGGGCCCATGTCACACTTGCCTCAGGGGTCCACCTTTGGTGATGAGGACCGGGTGAGTTGCTCAGAGTGTGCTCGGATACCTCCAAGACACCCCACTTGGACAAGCCCTCCAGAAAGCCGTGCATTGGGGGACACCCTTACAAGTGGACAGAACAGGACGTCCTCCAAAACAGCCCCGTTTAAAGCTCATGTCAAGATGGGATGGATACCATGAAAGTTTTCGGCGTGCTGAAGCATTTGCCAACCCGATGGCTCTTGCAAAGTGAAAGGCGAATGGGTGAGGCCGTTAGAAGCCACGGATTCTCACCACTCGTATCACGAGTGGAGGGGATGGTGAATGCTGGGTTGTTACACAAAGGGTTGGAGCTCCACTTGTTAAACCAATCCGAAGACTTGAACCTGGGGGTCTCCCTTTTCAGGTTTCAGTCCCTGAGGGTTGCGGAACGTTTTGTTTAGTTGGAGCCCTTTGGGCTTGAGGACCCAGAAAGGCGCCATGTCTTTTTTGCTTGGAGACGGTTGCTTGTGTCCCGTGCGCTCGGATGGACGCAGGCTCCAGCAACCCGTGAGAGGGAGAGCATGCCAAAGTGCTTGACCGCTTGCCAGGAGCAAGCGCAGGATGACTTCGCTTCGGAAAGCGAGGACGGGTCGAGCTTGTGCTTTTTCCCGAAAGCATCGCGAAGGGTGCTTCCGTGCGGAGCCCTTGGACAAGTTACATAGAGCCAAGTTGCACAGAGCCAAGTTGCACAGAGCCAAGTTGCACAGAGCCAAGTAGCACAGAGCCAAGTAGCACAGAGCCAAGTTCAACAGAACCAAGTTACATAGAGCCAAGTTGCACAGAGCCAAGTAGCACAGAGCCAAGTTGCACAGAGCCAAGTTCAACAGAGCCAAGTGGCACAGAGCCAAGTTGCACAGAGCCAAGTAGCAAAGAGCCAAGTTGCACAGAGCCAAGTAAGCCAAGTTGCACAGAGCCAAGTTGCACAGAGCCAACTTGCGCAGAGCCAAGTTGAACAGAGCCAAGTTGCACAGAGCCAAGTGGCACAGAGCCAAGTTGCACAGAGCCAAGTTGCACAGAGCCAAGTTGCACAGAGCCAAGTTGCACAGAGCCAAGTTGCACAGAGCCAAGTTACATAGAGCCAAGTTACATAGCCACAGAGCCAAGTTCCAAGCACAGAGCCAAGTTGCACAGAGCCAAGTAGAGCCAAGTTACCAAGTTGCACAGAGCCAAGTTGCACAGAGCCAAGTTGAACAGAGCCAAGTGGCACAGAGCCAAGTTGCACAGAGCCAGGTAGCAGAGCCAAGTTACAGAGCCAAGTAGAGCCAAGTTGCACAGAGCCAAGTTGCACAGAGCCAAGTTGCGCAGAGCCAAGTAGCACAGAGCCAAGTAGAGCCACAGAGCCAAGTTCAACAGAGCCAAGTTGCATAGAGCCAAGTTGCAGCCAAGTGGCGCAGAGCCAAGTTGCACAGAGCCAAGTTGAACAGAGCCAAGTGGCACAGAGCCAAGTTGCACAGAGCCAAGTGGCGCAGAGCCAAGTTGCATCGCATTGCGCAGATCCAAGTTGCACAGAGCCAAGTTGCACAGAGCCAAGTTGCACAGAGCCAAGTGGCGCAGAGCCAAGTGGCGCAGAGCGAAGTGGCGCAGAGCCAAGTGGCACAGAGCCAAGCTGCACAGAGCCAAGTTGCACAGAGCCAAGTTTAGGTAGAGCTTGCGTGGAGCTTCGGCGCAAGCAGCTATGTAAGTTAGTTTAGGTTTCTAAGGCGCCGGGGTGGGAGTTTGATCATTGCTCGGGATTGCGACCCTCTGTGGAGATCCGCGTGGTCGAGGTTAAAAAACTGAGGACTTTTTAGGGTTCGCGCGCGCCGTGCGCAACCCTCTGCGGAGATCCGCGTGGTCGACGTCAAAAAACTGGGGGCGTTTTGCGATTTGTGCGGTGCCAGCGCGACCCTCTGCGGAGATCCGCGTGGGGGAGGTTAAAAAAAACTGAGGGCTTTTTACGATTCTTGCAAGCCGCGCGCGGCCCTCTGCGGAGATTCGCGTGGTCGATTAAACAAAACTGTGAGGACCTTTTACGATTTCCGCGGTGCCCGCGCAACCCTCTGCGGAGATCGCGGACTTTTTACCGCGACCCTTTGCGGAGATCCGCGTGGTCGAGGTTAAACAACTGAGGGCTTTTTGCGATTCTTTCGGTGCGCGCGCGACCCTCTGCGGAGATCGTGCGTGTCGACGCGTCTCGCTGTGGTGCTGTGCGAATTCGTCTTAGTCTCGGCAAATCTCGCTGTGGCGCCGTGCGATTTCCTTGCTCGCGAAACGGCCTTTGGAAGTTGTCTCGTGGCTTGCGCGCCTGCTGTTGCAATCCCGCGGTCGCGGGTTCGATTCGCCCCTGGTCCGCGGCAGCTCCAGCTGGAAAATAGCAACTTTTAAGTATGAAGGTAGTAGGCGACTTTCGCAGCTCCGGCTGGAAAATCGTAACTTTTAAGAACGAAAATAGTACGCGAAGTAAACTTTTGCAGCTCCGGCGCAACTTTCGAGCGCGAAGTACACTTTCGCAGCTCCGGCTGGAAAATCGCAACTTTTACGTACGAAAGTAGTATGCGAAGTACACTTGCGCAGCTCCGGCTGGAAACTTTGAAGTTCGAAAGCATTACGAACGCGACGTAAACTTTTGCAGCTCCGGTTGGAAAATCGCAACTTCTAAGTACGAAAGTCGTACGCGAAGTAAACTTTCTGGAGGAGCACTTGGAAAAATGCTTTCGGGCCAATCTTCCTCTATCTTTTTCCAGGGACACTTTGACGCAGGCCTTGCTGTTTTGACCGGCACGCACAGCCACGCGTCCCCCAAAATTTTCTGCCTTCCCCTTTTGTCAGGTGTTAAAAGGGCAGACAACAGGAAGCTCCCCAATTTTTTCGAGAGAAAGGACATGAACAGAGTGAATGATGGCACTTCTCTCCCCCACCCTTGCCTTGCCTCTTCCTTGCTTACCCCGCGCTCGCTGCGGAGAGACGAAGCAAGAGACGGGAGGAAGCAAGCCCATCTCTTTCACTCACCCCATGTCTTGGCATGCCAGGATGCATGTTTAGAGCTAGCAAGACCTGAGACCTGCATCAACCTTACTAAGCATTGCTAGAACCAAGTTTGGAGTGCTGCTCACTTAGGAGGACTTCAGCGACGAAGGATTTCTGGAAGAAAGGTTCGGAGGGGGGAATGGGACAGAGTCAAGTTGGGAAGGCGACCGCAATTGGTTGAACGTTTGAAATGCTTCATGCTTTCCCCAACCATGGGCTCAAAAGGGGGGGAAGAGGATGCATATCAGCAAGTATTATCTTTGGCTGAGACATTTTGCAGAGAGGAATCTTGGTACAATACAAATGCGTTCCATTCCTTAGCTTGTCGACTGTGACCGGCTCCACCTGGCCTTTGCAACCCTCAAGGCTGCTCGGCTCCGGGCAAAACATGCTTTGGGAATGCAAAATCACGGGTCTTGGGATCAAGTTTTCGGAGATGTCTTCGTTCGCGCCCGCCTTTGGCTGCCTTCCGCCTGAAGTTGTGGTCAACGCACTTGCCCTGAAATGCGATTTCGCTCATTCAGCCCTTTCCTTTTCACTTGCTCATTTTTTCTGGTCAAAAGCATTGGGCCCCTTGACGCGTTGGTGTCTCGTAATGCTTTTCGTCCTCGGTTCTTGATTGAACAGTCGTTGCCCAATTCTGCGAAACTCTGAGCCGAAACATTTGTGTGAGAGGCGCCCTGCTTCGTTGCTCGTACCCCTCAAACATGCCATTTTCGCTCATTTTCCCATTCGGCTACTACCCGAGAGAGGAAAGGCTTCCCTTTCAGTTTAGTTAGGTTATACCCATGGGACTCAGTTTAGTGTGTAGGTTGTAAAGTTATAATGCTTACAAAGTTATAGGTAACAAGTTATAAAGTCACCATATAGTTGTAAAGTTGCAACCCCAGGGTGACACCCCAGTTACCACCTGCCGTCCGCCTGCCGTGATGCGGCGCCATGGCGCTGACCGCGGCGGCGCTGCGGGCGCTGGAGATCCAGGCAGAGGAGCCTGCGGAAACCCATCCCCCATTTAGCGCTCGTTACGGGAGCTCATTTTTTGTGTGTGGCCGTAGGCCTACTTTTCTGGATTCCCACTGGTCTTTTGACCGTTCCTACTTTTGTTGTTATGCTTATTGTTTCCATGTATTGTTTCGGGTTTGGTGTATGTTTAACCATATGGATTGAATGCATGTGGCTCTCAAAATCAGCTCCAAGGCCCAGTTTGACGTAGTTCTGAAGCGATTTCGGCCGTTTCTGAGGGCTCGGCAAAGTCAGCTGGTCTCCCCTTCTGCCGCGTGTGACATTGCGCAACGGGCAAGGCGAGCTGCAAGGCGTTGGCCCAAGTCCAAATCTGCATGGTTCCAGTGGCGACCTTTTCGTTTGGGGAGGACGGCGCCCAAATTCCCTGCGAAAAGCCAAGGCCCACCCAATTTGCCAGTGTTCCTCATTTGAGACGGGTGTAGCCTGGCCTCATGGGATGCGATCCTTGCAAATCCAGGAGCTTGCAGAGAAGGTGCCAGTGGCAGCTTCGTGGCGTGCGGTTTTGGTTTGCGTCTCTGTGTGGGAGATCGGCTCTGTTTTTTTAGCTGCTTGTAGAAAAGGACGATGCCTGATGAAATGTGAAATCCAATGTGTTTTGCAAGTGGCTTGCATCACCCGGGCATGTATGCCGGGTGTTCTTGGTTTGGTCAGACTGGACACTTGCCTCGAACATTCCTGCACCGGGCGTGGCCTTTTCCGAGGTGCAGGCAGTGGTTTGGGGTCAGGCACAAGCGGCGCACCTGTCGCAGCTGTTTTGGGCCCAAGCGCAGCATGCGCTGACCACGCGAGGCGTGGCATGCCGTGATTTGCAACACCAGTCGCAAAGCGTTTTTCTCGGCATGCGGCAATAATTTTTCATGGTGGGGGGGGGGAGGGGGGGCAGAAAGCACATAAACATTCTTTTTTGATATCCACCGAATGGTCAAGGGAAGTTCTGTCCCCCATCTTTCTAGACGCAGGGCATCTCACCACTTGTGGCGCAGATGGCGGGGAATGGCTCAGAGTCTCTTCCTCGCTGCATTGTCACTGTGTTCCATGAAAGCACACGAGAAGGGCACAAACCACCTGTAACAGGCCGATGGGGAGACTCAAGGATGCGCTTTTCTTGGAGGCGTGGTTCGAGGGAATTTTGGCATTGGCATGTTTGGCAAAGTTGGCATGGGCAATGGGAGAATCCATTGTGCACATATCCAGCGGTGGCCACTGCTTCAATTGTCGGGGTTCCCAACCAGATACAGGCACTGATTAGCTGTGTTATTGTACATGCGGTTTGAGCACAAACTCGGCGCAACGGCATCACTCAAATTGGCACATAGTGATATGGTCTGTTGGAGACCCCAGTCAGCATTGGACAGCTCATTAGGTTTTATATCTTTGCATCTTCGGACCGCGTAGGTTCCAGCAAGAATTCAGAGACATCACCTAGCAAGAAGGTGTTAAGAACCCCTCTTAGAGTTAGGGTAGGCCTTGCCCATCTTTTTG